CCTTTCTGATGTATATAACAGATGCCTTCCATATCGAGGGATTCTTTTGAGGCACACATATACTAGCATGGTGATATCCTTTGACACAAGTATCATGATTGATGTCAGCAATCTCTTTCACAAAGGGCTTAGTCACTGTCTAATAATTAAGACAATAGCAGCTTCTACTGCCCAGACAAGGACTGAGACCTCCAGAGATAATGGAGAATACTGTATCTTCCAAACAAAGGAAGGGCCTAAAGCAAGAATACAGAAAAGAATATGGTATACCTGGAAACAGGGAAAAAAAAGGAAAAGAAAAAAGAAAGTGTAAATATTTTCTTGACACAGCAACTTCTAGAATCAGAGTTCTGGACGACTCTTAAAACTTGGTTGCTTACTGAATCAGCCTAAGCTACTCAGCTTCCTGCATGTACTAGCTAGTTTTATATATCAGTTGACATAAGATGGAGTCATCAGAAAGGAGGGAGGCTCAAGTGTGAAAACGCCTCCCTAAGATCTGGCCGGGAGACATATTTTTTTTTAAATTACTGATAGATGGGGGAGGGCCCAACCCATTATGGGTGGTGCTATTCCTTGTCTGGTGGTTGTGGGTTCTATAAGAAAGGAGGCTGATCAAGCCACGGGGAGCAAGTCAGTAAGCAGCATCCCTCTATTGCCTCTCCATCAGTTCCTGCCTCCAAGTTTCTGCCCTATATGTGCTCCTGAACTAACTGCATTTGATGATGAGCTGTTATGTGAAATTGAGTAATATAAACCCTTTCTTCCATAAGTTGCTTTGAGTTATGGGATTTCATCACAGCAATAGTGAACCTAACTAAGACACTGCATTAGAGCTCAGAAAGCAAAATTTTCTTCTGTCTTCCTCTTTCTACATTCCACTTTTGAATGGACAACAGATAGACTACAAAGCCAGCTTACCCTAATTGTCTCTGGGATTATGTTCCCTTACAGGAGCCCCTGCACATGAAACTGCTTAAAGACTTCTGCTACTGTGCCTGCCTCTTTTGTTGAATTTTAACACAAAAATAATAACTTTAGTTTTTGCTGTCTATATCTTTACTCTTGGATGTTACTAAGAGTTCAAACTTGCATGGCCTGCTGTTTAGTCTCTCAAACTTCAAAATTTTGTCAAGTTCTTAAATTTTAACAAGGACCAAATTATGGGAAAAAGGAACCCTGCATCTCCTTGTGACAAACAATATGGAATTATAATATAAATTACATTTCTGTGGGTTTGCTGCATGCTGGACCCTAATTCTTAAGTTTATTTAAGCAAAGTATGAAAATAGTCACTGCCTCTCAAAGGCCAAGCAGAGAAAGAGCTGGACTTCCATTCTCAATATAATGTTAGCAGCTGTTTTGCAATCCCAAGCAAAGCATTTCTGTTTTTAATACTTTCAGCTTATCATTAGTAAAATGAAAGGTAGCAGTATTTTCTAGATAGTTACAGATCTAAAGCACTGAGAGATAATGAGGAGAAACATGTGACCTGATGGAGGGGCTTTACTCTTACCGCATTCCTTTCTCACTGCCTTGTGGTTATTCACAGAAACCCATTTCTTACACTATATTGCAAGGTGATTTTCAAAATACAACTCTTTTATCTGATAGATGCGATGAAAAAGACACATGAATAATTATTACAAGCTATAGCACAAAACAAAGGAAGAGGGATTAATTTTTTGTGAAAATAAACCTATAAAAACAATTACATTTAATTAGATAAAACTAATAAAATTCATGGATAGAAAACACAACTAATAAAGGAACCAAGCCCTTAGATAAAGCACGGAAAACATTAAGATACATGAGGAACACACACATTGTTCAAAACAACAGGTAACATTTGTCAAGGTTATAAAGCAAAAGAAGATCAAATCATGAGGTTTTTTTGAATGCTGTAGTGAATAATCACTTTCAACAGACCTACAAAATCATTTAGAGAACATAAGGAACTCCCATGACGTCAAGTTAAAAACTGCAATGGCCTTTGCTTTGCGTCCTAGTTTTCTCTTCTATTGCTTTGATAAAACATTCTTATAATAGGCTATTTAAAGGAGGGAAGTGATTATTTGACTTATTCTTCCACATCACAATGAATCACTAAGAGAAGTCATGGTCGAAACTCAAGTAGAATCTGTAGAGGAACACTGATTACAGGCTTGCTCATCTAGCTTTCTTAGAGACTTCATGATAGCTCACCTAGGCAGTGTGCTGGACCCAACAATAACAATTTAAAAAAATTACAATCCTAGACCAGTGGCCTCAGGTTGAATGCTGGGCAATCTTTGAATTTGGATGCTGGGCATCCAAGGTTAGTCTAAGTTGGGTCAAGTTGACAGTAAGCAATACACAGGACACTTTGGGATTGAAGGGATTATGTGATACAGAGTAGAATAACAATGAGATGGGGCAGGGTTTGGGAAGGCACCAAGGGAATTGCTTTCAAGGTCAACTTATGATACAAACTTTCTTTCAAATAAGAGGAGATTCAAGTATAACATTTCACTCTCATCTGAAATAGATTTTGATGAAGCTATGTTGGGCTTCAGCATGATGCCATAAAATGGAAGCACAGGTTTATGTAAGGAAGTAAGGACATTAATGGGGGAGAAACCTAGTGGAATGAGGGTCCGTAGCACAGCTGTAGCCCTTTGTCAATACAGTATCAGCTATTTAATCCCTCACAGGTTCTTCCTTCTACACTTCTACACCCATGAAACACGAAAAATGCTTAACCTTATCTTTCCTTCCCTTTTTTGGTTGCCTTTTTTTTCTGATCCTTCAATGTTGTAGGAAAGCTTAAGATAATTTCTGCAATCTTTGGAGGCCACCTAGAGAATAATTCTGGGAAGGAAGAGATAATCTTAAGCATTCCAACTCTGGTCAAGCAATCAGATGGTCTCATTAGGAGACTCGACATTTTTCTGTCTTAAATTTATCTACTACATGAATATACTAAGTTATCGATGTGTCTGGCCGACTGTTTTGTGTTGTTTTGTCTCAAAGATAAATACAACACACATATGTCATCAACAGGAGTAACTAAGAGAATATACATTCAAAAATATCAAATATAAATGATTATTTTATCAAAGTAAGCTAAACCAATAAAGTCAAATACACATAATGTTTCTCTTTCCCCCTCCATAGATCTGTAGTCAAGTTATAGTTTGAAGTGCTTATTTAATTCATATAAGTATATAAAGTTCATGAATAAGTTTATTCATAGACATTTGAATACTTTGACACTTGCTATGAAAAGTTCAGAGGTTTGGCTGTGATATAAAGTGTTGGCAGAGAATAGAAGTAATGATATGTCTTATTATTGTAGGAAAGAGGGGAACATTATGAAAGTGCTCAAAAAAATGAATAGCTTAAAATGAAAAGCATATCTTTATAAAAATCTTTACATCTACTCTGTTTCCCACTTGTTTGAAAATAACCGTTTATTACTTATAGTGGGAACCATATATATTTAGAAGTTTTATGATTACTTCATATTGATTATGATTACTACTTTATGTATAAAGTCAATTTTTTTTAGTTAGTAATTTAAGGATATGACATCCAAGGTTAATTCTCATTTTGCTATGCTTATTAGAAATGATGAGTGTCTGGGCAGTACACAGAGCCTCTTGTTTCTGTCACCAGAGGAAGGGTACTAAAGCTAAAATTGCAAACGCAGATACTCAGTCTCAAAATAAACTAATGCTATTTATCTTTTCTTTAAAACCATCTCTGCCAAACAATGAGTGAAAGTTTATTCCTTATATAAAAGTGAAATTTCATATAAAAATCTTGTTAAATAAAAAATACATAGAATCCTAGATTTATAATATTTATCCAGAGCTCTTTTGCTTTCCCAAAATTGTTGAAGAGTTAATTAATGTTTATTTATGGCATTTTCTAAGGCAAAGGGAATTCATAGGCCATCCTTTTTAGGATAATTTATAATTTCTCTACTATAAAACCTTGTTTATAGGTGGACAAAAATATTAGGTTTTTAAATATTTGTTTAATTTTAATAAAATATCTTAGTTATTAAATTGTAGAGACTGTTTCATGCTTTATGCAACAGATAAAATCTTCTCATGCCACTATTAATGTTTTTCAACTCCAAGCATTACCATCAGTTAATAGTTTAGTGAAATTTGTGATAATCAATAGCTCATGTGCAGTATTGATTACACCTGTGAATATTCATTTTATTGCTCAATATTTATATGCATATGTAAGTACATATGCATATGTAAGAGAGTCTTTTTATTTCTTCCCCATCTTTCTGTCTTTCAGCATTTTAAACAGATGTAAATGTAATGCTAGTATATTAGTGAATAATTATAATATAGTGCCAGAAGATAAAAATGCCTGGGAATAATTTACCACAGAGATTAGAACATGTTTGGTTCACCACTCTGTACAAAAGGATCACTGTATTTCTACATCGTATTACTTGAAATTTCAATTTAAATATAGGTAAATAGATGGTCTTTATTAAGGTTAAGTAAAAATGTTATATATATATATTTATTTAATTAGTAAGTCTCCATGAGATGATTAATGTGAGAAAAATTATTCTTAAATCAGTTATTCCACTCTCATGATAAAAATATGAAAGTTATAATCTTAAATTTAAGTATATTTTGCAATGTTATTATATGTTAACAATTACATTTAAATACCTTACTAAAATTAAAAATTTAATATAGGTAAAAATTTTACCTATATTAAATTTACTTACTAGCAAAGGTAAGTAATCCACTGGGGTTGGTATTGTTTTCCTATATAAAAATGATATGATTCCAAGAACTTACAGGGTTTAATTGAAAGAAATATGTTATATCATTTCCATATGAAAGTTAAAAATAATAGATCAGTTTGTCTTCAGTTAGTAGAAGTCAATTTCTTCAACAAGAAATGATCAGGAAAAGCACAAAAACTTCTGAGAAACAATTTAAGATACAAGATAAATTATTTGCAGTTTTGCGTCTTACCATGGCAGGATCCCTCAATTTCTTCATACCCTGTACTGCAGATACACCTTCCGAGAGGAACAAGCCAATCTCCATCAGCTCCACAGTAGAGTTTAGGAGTATCCCGCTCTTCAGCACTCTTCACACATGAACCCCGCACTTCAACCAAAGACGAAGAATCAACCCTTGGGATGGTATCAGGAAACATAGCCAAGTTCCTCACAGTGAAGGGGCATTTTTTGTAGAAAACACGGACCGAGACCAGGGCAATGCATGCCCCAATGTCTTGAAAAGCCAAATAAAATCCTTTCCTTTCTATGGGCCCCACCTCACGAATTTCAGTGTTGAGCTTAAGGATGCGATCACCCAAGTCCATCTGAGTAAAGCTCTCATCCGCAGCAATTGTGTCGATCTTTACATATTGGCTTGGCTTGAATTTAGTCCCATGGGACTCATCCGATTCTATATAATACAGATTGAATGTTTCTTTACAAGTTCCCAGGACCCATGGGATGCTGTTACAATCTCTCAGTGTGAACTTCATCTCCACGTAAATTTTCTGTGCAGCATCACGCGAGATCCAATTAGTCCGAAGCCAGTTGTTTTGGTTTGGTTCCATGACATTGCATACCTGGTATGTATGTATGGGCCTGTTGTGCTCATCCATTTCAGTAATGGCATCCCACTGCACAAAGGAAAAGACAAATAATGAAGAGATTGTAAAACTACTGCCAGAGAGAGAAATGTTAATATTTAAGAATATTTTAACAAGCGAGAATAAGATAAAACCATACTATGAAACTGTCCAAAGCAACAAAGCAGCATTTTAACCATGACCCTTTGATTGGAAGTATACTATCTACTCTTCTGGGGGCTGAGGTGGATGTGATGAAGGAGTGCAACTTACAGGCTTGCTCAACCTGTCTTCTTACAGAAACTAACACCATGAGCCTAGGCATAAAACCACCCACAATGGGCTGGGCCCTCACCCTTAAATCACCCAGAAAATGCCCTATATGCTTCTGGATGGCTGGATCTTACAGAAGCTCTTTGTTTCTTGGGGTTCTGTCCTCCCAGATCTCAGATGAATTTAGCTTGACACTCTGTTAGCTTTACATCCAAACACATCACTGTTAAGCTACAACCTTTCTTTTCTTGTTCCTCCCCAAGTTACACATTAATATTGATATCACAATATAAGACATTCTCAAACTTAAAAGACCCATTCTTACAAATTTAAAACACTTCAAATTTAATCGCTTTTAAAATCAGAAGTCTCATTTAAAATCCAAAGACTCCCAATTTTAAGTTCTTAACTGTAGCCTCTAATAAAATCAAATGCTTTCTTATTTCAGGAGGGAAGAACCAGGGCATTGTCACAATTTGAACAAAACAAAACAAATGCAGTAATAGCAAAAGTAAAAGATTCAATGACTGAGATCCATTCATGATCTTCTGCTCTTTTAGACGAGGCTTTTTGTCATTTCTCTGGATTTGCCTTATGCATTACACACAGCTTGGATCCATTCAACCACTGCTGCTGTTCTTGGTGGTCAACTCATAGTACTGGCATGGCTAAATGAAGGAGTTAGTTGTTGCAAGTTGGCTACACCTTCACCAATAGCTTCTCCTATACTCTCCTCAGAGACTCCAGGCTTGCCACACAGTCTAAATCCTCAGTGGTTCTCCATGACCTCTTTATTCCTTCAAAACCAGTACCATCTGTATGACTATTCCATTGCTAAGTTCAGCAGTCAGCAGAAGATAGGACCCTGGCCATTTCTATTGCACAGCTTCTGGGTTTTGAGACCGAAAAAAAACACTTCCCAGAAGATTTCACCTCAATTATGTTGGAATCTTCTTGTGACTGCTAATTTTTTGACTCCAACTGACCAGTGTTGATAAACCCAGCAAAGCAAAGGTATTTTTTTTCCCAATGGTTCTGGTCTCTTGTTGATCACAGCTGATTTTTCAGGTCCAGGTAAGCAAAACTACAGTTTCTTAACTTAAATTGTGCAAAATCCCTGATGGAGTTTTGAGTGATTTTCACACGTTTTTTGTGAAACGTCACAAGCCAGGCCTCTATCTAAGGCATTTCTCTTCATATTCCTATCTTATAACCTCCACAAACAACTCATCCAATTTTGAAGATTCAATGACTTCTCTGGTCCACAATTCCGAAATCCTTCTACAATCAAACAAAAACAACATGCTATGTAACAAGGAGAACCCTAAGAGAAACATATATTGATCCCCCTGGGAGTGGGGAAATTGACAAGATCGCTTGAGAAAATTGGGAACATAGGGGTTGGGAAGAGAAGGGAGGGCAAAAGGTAGGAAGAAGAGGATGGGAATGGAGAACTTGGGGGAACAGGATTGTTCAGATGGGGGAAGAACAGAGACATTGAGCAAGGAAAGAAATATCTTGATAGAGGGAGCCATTACGGGGCTAGCAAGAAACCTGACACTAGAGAATTTCCCAGGAATCCACAAAGATGACCTCAGCTAAGACCTTAAGCAACAGTGAAGAGAGTGCCCGGAAGAAGGTGATTTGCCCTGTAGTCATATTAATGACTATCTTGAATGTCATCACAGAACCTTCATCCAGCAAAGGATGGAAGCAGAGGCAGAGACCCATAGCATATCACTGGGCTGAGCTCTCGAAGTCCAGTCAAAGTGTTGGTGGAGTGAGAACACAAGCAAAGAGGACAAGACCATGATGGGGGATATTCACTGAAACAGCTTATCTGAGCTAATGGGAGCTCATTGACTGACAGTGGGAAACCAGCATAGGACCAAACTAGAAGTTCTGTATGTGGGTGACAGCTGTGTGGCTGGGGCAGAATGTAGGGCCACTGGCAATGAGACCAGGATTTGTCCCTACTGCTTGTCCTGGCTTTTTAGAACCCGTTCTTTTTGGAGTGATATCTTGCTCAGCCCAAATATAGTGGGGAGGGTCTTGGTCCTGCCTCAAAGCAATGTGATAGACTTTGTTGACTCCCTGTGCGAAGCCTTACCCTCTCTGAGGAGTGGACTGGACAGGGGTGGGACAGTGGAAAGAACTGGAGGAGGGGAGGGAGTGCAAACTGGAATTGGTATGTAAAATAAGAAAAGATATTTTTCTAAGATAAATAAAATTTAAAAGAAAGAACAATACCTCCAAATCCTGATACCTTAGTTGAGGTACTCTTGCTGTGATGAGGAAACATGACAAAAGCAACTTGAGGAATTTTCACTCACATTTCTATATAACAGTTCATCATCAAAAGCAGTGATTTCAGTGCCTCATGGATGTCAGGGATCTGAATGCAGGAGCTCATGTGGAGGTCATGGAGGTGTGCTTCTTACTGTCTTGATTCTACTGATTACTCAGCCTAATTTCATATACAGCTGAAGTCCTCAAGTCTATGGATGAAACCACAAACAATGGTCTCACCCCTCTACCATCAATTAATAATTTAAAAAATGCCCTACAAGTTTGCCTACAACCCTGTCTTATGGAAGCACTTTCTTAGTTGAGGTTGCATCCACTCAGGTGACATTACCTTGCATCAAATTGGCATAAAACCATTCATCACACAATCAAAAACCTTAACCAACTCGAATCTCCCTTCAACAGTTTTGGCTTAGTACAGCTGCACTTCCCTGATGGTCTAGTAGTGGAAGTCAGCAACTGGTACTAAAAAGCTAAGACTGTAATTTTTTTCCAACATAAATAAAAAGGTACATTATTATTGGTTCCAAGACTTTTCTCCACTTATATAAACAAGGCATTCAGGCAAACTGAGTGAATAGACCAGGAGACAATCTTGTGTACTCCTTACTATGGTTATGTTACATTATGTATAATAAAATGCCTATCCCAGGTGATCTCTTTTTGCCTTCATGTAGGATCATAGAACTAAATACAAAGAAATAAGCATCTGAAACAGCAGAATAAAATGGTGGCAGAGACCAGGGCAAGCTCTAAATGAAACAGACATATGCCTGCTAGAAAAGAAGCATCTCAACAGTTTGAGAGCCACCAGGATAGGAAGACAAAAGTTCCAGCAGTTATGAGATGGGAAAAGTTGGAGGAATGGCAAAGCTGCTCTAAGGAACAAGACAAGAGGAAGTACAGGCTTTAGTGCCTGGAAGATTTCTTTTTTATTGTTTTTTTTTTGTATTTTTTGTTTCATATTATTTTTATTAATTTAGTTTTATTATTTAATTAAAATTTTCCACCTCCTACCATTTCCCTCCCTCTCCCCCCATCCCCTTTTCCCTCCCTCTCCAGTCCAAAGAGCAGTCAGGGTTCCCTGCCCTGTGGGAAGTCCAAGGTCCTCCCCCTCCATCCAAGACTAGGAACATGAGCATCCAAACAGACTAGGCTCCCACAAAGTCATTACATGCAGTGGGATCAAAACCCAGTGCTATTGTCCTTGGCTTCTCAGTGAGCCCTTCTTGTCAGCCACTTTCAGGGAGTCTGGTTTGATCACGTGCTCCATCATCCAGCTGGCCTTGGTGAGCTCCCATTAGATCAGCCCCACTGTCTCAGTGGCTGGGCACACTCCTCGTGGTCCTAACTTCCTTGCTCTCCCTCCTTCTGCTCTCATTTGGATCTTAGGAGCTCAGCCCAGAACACTGGACTGACATCCCTGGAAGATTTCTGCAGAACTGTAATATCTGTAGGGCCAAGGGTCTTAGAGATTTCAGATGGAGACGTTAATACTAACTTTTTAAATCTAGATTCCTAGCTTTATGTAAGTATGGCAACATTAGTGATTGCTAAGGGCTAAGGAATTTCTTTACCTACAACTGTTTATAGCTGTAATGCCTACCACTGAGGGATCCTGATAGTTTAGATACACACAAGAGTTGTGTTTTAGAGCTAACTCTTTTGCCACATGCTGCTATTGTAACCTGTCTAATGTTCCTGTTTGTTGCTGTTCCATACCTAGAGATACAACAGCTGCCAAATACAAGAACTCAAAGAGCTTCCCTTTGTCTACCCACACTTTGCATATGGATAAAGTAAAAATCAAAAACTGGTAAAATTTTGATAAAAAAATAAATATAGACAAGGCTTTAGATTAATAAAAGAAATATTCCAGTCATTATTTCAGTCATGAGAATAGGGTAGTTAAGCTGTCTTCATTAGAGATTATGTTGCAGCATAGGGATATTATAGCACATAACTATCAATGAGCAAATGACATGGTAGGAAAACAGTAATGGAATACATCAAAGATATGAAGAGAAAGAAATAGACAATTTTTTGAGGTCTCCTAAAATCAACCTCCGTAAGGAAGTGGCACTTATGCAATTATGGAAATGATAGATCAGAGAGAAGTCAGTCAGTCCAATTACAAGACAATAAGCGTATAGATATAATTTAGGGAGCAAACTGGGTAGCAAAATGCCTAGAGAGCTGATCTGAAAGTCTTTCCAAGTATCATGAACTTTGCCTTTTGTTCTGAGCTCAGTATTAGATCCCCTTCCCTATTTTGTGCTAAATACAAGCATGCTAACATGGCAGTTGACTCCACAGGAAGACCTTGCTAACCATTTTTAATAAAGCAGTTTATTAACACATTTGAATACGTTAAAATCAGTTGGTATTAGCAGGTATGCCCCTCAATTTAAAAAAAAAATATTTGTTTTTTTCAAAATTTTTTATTTCATTTTACATAACAGTTACAGTTT